ATATATATATATATATATATATATATATATATATATATATATATATACACACACACACACACACACACACACACACACATATCTATCTATAATATAGATATAGATATCATTGTAGGCTAGGGATTGTATTCTGCTCCATGGAAAGGGCACGTTAACCACAGCTCCTCCAGTGACTATAAACTTTGGGGAGAAAGGGGCAATTACTGCAGTCCCTAGAACTGTAAACAGCTTCAGAGAAGTACCATCCCCTAGAGTGGTTTTCATACATTGGTTCAGGTTAAGTTCAAGAGACACAAGAGACAAAGAAAGAACGTGGGGTATAAAAAATGTCAGCTAGAATTGATAAAGATAGCTTGATTTTGATTCAATAAATGGACAGGACCTTTTGTCTGGAGGGGACCACACTAAACCCTGCGGAAGGGCTGGAAGAACTGAATCCTGCTATGGTCTACGTAGAACTGACGGGGGACTTCTGGTATGTTTTAGACCTTTTGTTGTTTTATATGATTTCTTTGTATGGTTCTGTGCTTAAATAAATGTACTCTGACTTGAAAGAGCTGTTTGGTTACTCGTAATCAGCGGCGTACACTGGTCACAGCCCTTGGAGAGAAAGCAATGTGCAGGAACTGGACTCCTAGCCAGAGTTGCTGGGATAAACACAGCAGCGTGGGGCACGGGTCACTTGCTGGAGGATTCTCTGCACCTTGAAGTCTTTAAACCACAAGTTGAGGACTTCAATAGCTTAGACATAGGTCAGGGGTTTATTACAGGAGGGGGCAGGTGAGATTCTGTGGCCTGCGTTGTGCAGGAGGTCAGACTAGAAGAGCATAATGGTCCCTTCTGACCTTGAAGTCAGAGTCTATAAATTACAGGGAAGCTGTAGCCTAAAACCCCTGGCCATGAGGGAGAGGGACACAGATCCCTGCCCAGAGAAAGGTGATAGCTACAAGCCTGAGACCTGAGAGGACATTCCTTGAACAGACCATGGATGGGGTCAGATGTGTAATTATCCTGAAATGGTGACAATCACTAAAAAGTAGAAGTCAATGGGAGATACTAAATGAAAAGCCAACAAAGTACATACCAATACATATCCAATTCTGTGAAGAACTAGAAAAAAATGTACAACACACATGAATGTTTCTATTCTCATTAGTGAATCTTTCACATTGGAGTTCACTAGTGCACTGTTCTTTTCTCTCTCACCAATTAAAATGTGCAGGTTGACACAGAGAAAATTACCTTTAACTGAAGACTTTGAGAAACACTTTTTTTGTGGGTTTAATTTTTTTATTAAGAGTTGCCAGACAGACAAGATTTATGGATGAAAGAACAGTCAGATGCAGCTAAGATCTGGCAGAAAAAAACATTCACTGAAAATTCAAAAACTACGGAAGGTTCTGAGCATATGAAGTGTAATGAATATTTTGCATGTGTCTTTTGTGATCACTTGCACCAAGCGAAATCGAAGAACACCAAATGATGCAAACTAGCTGGGATAGTATACGAGGCAATGATGCAAGTTCAATACAGCAGAATCCTCTGTATTGTGGGCTGAAGATTTAATACACCTCTGTAGCTGAAAATGTGATGAGTTTTTTTTTTTTTAAAGGATCTGAGCAAGCTTTTGGGAAAACTATGTATGACTTATTTTAGTTTAGCTTGTCAATAAAGCTAACAATTGAAAAACACAAACAGAAAGGCTGCATGAAAGATATATACAATCCCTATACATCATGATGAGACCTAGGTTTATAACAGAGCATAGCTAGAAATTAATATTTCAGAGTCTGGGATCCCTTCATCTAATAAGATTTCAGAGGGAGAGACAAAATATAAAAAAGATATCATTTGTGGAACAAGTTGAAAAAGAAACTTTGCCCCCAAGATTTCTAAAATTGTAATGGTTCAAATGAAGATGATTATTTACTGCATCAAGGTCTGTATGAAACGATAACCATAAAGTTCAGTTGTTAAAATGGTATTTCCATTTATTTTTATTCATGAAAGCTTTGTCAGAGGAGATAGGTCACGAGCCATTGACAGGCCAAAGCACCAATGCTGTTACCGTGAGAAAAGCAGGGATTTAAATGGCTGATAAAGTAAACTGCCAAGTTCTCTGAGGTAACAGCCAACAACATGTATCCAACTTTGGTCAGTGGAATTTAGTTGAAATTCTGTAAGCTTCACATTTTTAAATTCCACAAGGCTTAGACTTAGCAGTACCCTCCTAGATCATCCCCAAAGCATGACCAAAGGTATACCCACATTGCCACAACAAGCAATATCATAAAACCAATGAGACTGAACAATCTTATAGTGAGAGAACTAACAGCACCCATAGGTATTTCTTTGTCACTGCAGGTAGTAAAGACAATATCTATGCTTATTGTTATTCCTAGAGACTGGACTACTCACATGCCTAACCTTAAGCATGTAAATATTTACCTTGTTAAATCATGACCTACATGACCACAGGGTAGTTGACGCTGTTTAACTGGTGGCTTTGGGGTATGCGTACATGCATCATTTCTTAGGGAAACCCAAGAATTATTTTTATTTTCAGATGTATTAAACATTACTCACCTGTGTCCATAGTCTGTTCTTCAGCAGTGGGTGCTTCTCTTTCTTGTAAGCTCTCGATTTTCCTTTTACCAGTTTTCTTCCATCGGTTATTTACCTGATCCACTAAAAGCTGAAATTCACCTTTATGTTTATTCCCTGAAACACAAAATTACACTCCTCTATGAAAAACAAATTGCTCAGAGAACAGGCAGCACCATAAGTGTGCCAGGGGAGAGTGAAAAGGACATGAACAAAAACACAAATGCATAATAATGAAAACATATCTCCATTTTAAAAAAATCACTAACTGACTCGCTGTTGCAACATTTTAAGTGTTCTATTTAAGGGCTCAATTATGAAAAGTGCTCACTGAAGTCAGTGGGAGTTTTGCCATTAATTTCAGAGGAACTAGGATTTCAGTATCTCTCTAGTTAATTTGGGTTTTTTTTTAAATCAACTTGGTTAAAACCTCTGGAACCACATATCTTTCTGTATTCAAAAATAATTTCCACAGTTATTCTGGTTACTTTAGACAGTTATTTTACATCATCAACTACTAGGTATAGAATTATGTGAAAGTTTATTTTAAAAGGTCAAAAATCTAAATAAGAGACTCAGGATTTTTCCCCCACTTTAAGAAAATGGAAAGGTTTGTTTTTTAAAACATTTATAAAAATGTTGTCCATAAAACAGCGTCACACATGCAAGGTAGAACAAGAGAACATGCAAAAAGAAATGTTACTAGTCCGTTTGCATTTTGCTAAAATTCATTTTAAAGTTTTTTTTTTAAAAGCAAGATGTGCTATAGAACAAAAACATCTGATCATTCAAAAGCCAGGTTAAGTGTGCAAGCACATTGGAATTAAATAGTGTTTGTTTTTCCCTAATACCATCGTCTGCCAATTAAAAAAAAATCTGCTAAATAATTTAGTTATTCTTGCCATAATATTAGATAATGCTGTTGAAGAATTCTAGTTTCCTTGGGATTAGCTGGAGTACTGGTTGCTCATTAGGGTCCAGATGGCTCAGTGAATTGATCAGTAAGGGGATAGCAAGCTCTTCACCTCTGTCACTTGTCCTTATTCACAGTGGGACAATAGTTAATGAAAATAATCACAACCGATCTGTTCAGAGGCCTATGCAGAAGGTGCTAGAGATTTCAGTCCATTACACGGTGGAAAGCTATCTACATTGCCATGGCTGGCACTATCTGACAGAGAGAAAAGAATGGTTATGGAGACTGGACTGCCTCTCTTACTCCTAGCGATGGTCCCCTCTACTTCCAGGGGAAAGAGGTAGATCACTGTGTAGGAAAAAAAAAATCGTACTGCTGCTGCTCTGCCCTGTTCCGTGCATAGAGGATTCAGTCCTCAGGACAATCAATATAACTCAGACACTCTTATATTATATATTACAGGGAGCCTTTCAAAACTTAACAGAGAGAGATGCCAGACAACTCTCAGTGAACCACTGCTGATCCAGACCACAATTTGGAAATCTGTTTTTCTTGTAAGAAAAGAAATCAAAAACAAATGTTAAGGCATTTTGTGCCATTAGGAAAGGCTAAAAACACCTAAAGGGAAACTTAAGGCCACACATCACTGATGTTCTCTCTTCGCTGCAGATGTCCACAGAGCTTGCAGAACTGCCTTTTCTGCACACACACAATCACGGCTTCCAGGTAACCAAAATAATGAGAAAGCTCCACTAATCTTCTTAGAATTTTGTATTTGCTAATTTCACTTCTCATCTCACCTCCCCCAATCTAACACAGGTGAGGACTGCCACTATAAATTACAGTTACACCAAAATTACATCAATATTTCTGTAAAATAAAGCACTAGCTTTGAATAGCCAACTACTACCTTTTTCTGAATGAAAATGTGAATTCAGAAAGACGGTCATAAGTGGCTTTGCAAAGAAAATGCCAAATGTCACAAAGAGCAGACGCCTAGCTTTTAAAAAATTGCACCAACACTAACATTATTACGGTTGCAAAATCAAGTATTCAAAAGTTATGAAATGCCAGAATGCCTATGCAGCCTTCATTAATTAATGCAGCTCCCCTGAAAACATAGCCTTCATGTTATATAAAAGGAAGCATTGATTGCTTAGGGAAGCATTGTTCTGGCTATCCTCAACTTTTTCAATACCAAGACACCCTACCCATCACTGTCTTATCTGGGTGCCACTGTTGTCAACCTCCCAGCATTCCATTTCAGTTTCTAGACTCAACAGAAACAAAGATTTAATAAAGAAAGTTCAGACTTTGCATAATTGTCCTTACCTTCCCTATATTAATGTCTCTGGAAAGGGACAGTGAACAGATATCTGCATATTGTTTTAGGCAAAAGCATGGTCAACAGTTCTATAAAGCGATGTTAAAAATGCTATGCATAGAATAGTAATCTCCATTCTGCACTAATGTAACTTCCAGTTGTAATTCAAAATCCATGCACTCTGTTTTTTGAGCAACTTTGCCAAATGGATTTTATAGGCAATAGATCTTTTGTCAAATAGCATCACAATTTAATAAATATTACTACAGAGAGTTAAATTTTACGACTACATCTGTTATTTCATGTTTGGGAAAAAAAGTCTCTGTTCCAAGATGATGACAATTTTTTCAATAAAGGAAATTTTAATACACATCTGGTGTTTTATTTATTTATGATACCTCAGTGATTCAGAACATTCCTAATCACAGTTCAATGCTGCCCTTTAGTTATGTACTCATTGCATTTTTGATGATTTAGTATGTTTATGATCAGCTTCCGGTAGTCAGTCAAAGTAATGCTTATTATTTGGATACTCAAAATTCTCTTACTAAAAGGCTGGCAAAATGAGAAGTTTGCTCAGACAGAAGATTATGTAGATTACACACTACCTATAGGGTGAGAACATACCATTTATTTTTCTTTAAATGACATTTACAAAAGATTAGTTATTTGACTGTAATTACAGTAGTAAGGAAAGCCATGAAAATGTATTAATACCTGTAGTTAGTTTTAGATTAATTGCAATCTAAAGGCAGAGTTAGGCTACAAATTTCTTTCTATTGAAAAATCCCAAAATCTAGAGTTGTCTTGAAAAATAGATTACTCTTTTTTGGCTTTTCAGAATAATTAGTATTTTGGACTATCTAACCTGGTGGAAGTAGCAGCCATTTGTTTTCCATTGTTTTGTTTTGAATTAAATAAGCCCTGATCCCAATATATTTCTGAAATTTTCATACAACATAGAATCATAGAATACCAGGGTTGGAAGGGACCTCAGGAGGTCATCTAGTCCAACCCCCTGCTCAAAGCAGGTCCAATCCCCAGACAGATATTTGCCCCCGATCTCTAAATGGCCCCCTCAAGGATTGAACTCACAACCCTGGGTTTAGCAGGCCAGTGCTCAAACCACTGAGCTATCCCCCCCCCCCCCCCCCAACTGAAGATCTGTTTTTACTGACACACACAAAAAAATATATATATATCAACATTCTCCAGGACTCCACATAAATATACCCAAAGAGCCCATCCACAGAGATTTCAGACAGCCAAATCACCTAGAAAATAAAACATGAACAGATGTACAAGTTAAATGACTCGATGACTATCCCAAAACCAAAGAAACTGAAATATTTTTCCAATGCTTCATTTACCAGAGGGGATTCTGAGAAACAATAATGTTTCTCGTCTGTCACTATTTATTATAACAGCAGACTGTTGGTAACACAGGTGTATGATATGTAAGCAAACCATTACTCAGAAGAGTAGTATATAGGGGTACTGTACAGACATGCATTATACAGCTACTGAATAGTGGTGCCTGGAAACAATTCCTCCTATATCCAGATTAATATTTATGCTTTATGGTAGACTACAACAGTGTTTTATGCTGCTTCTTTGTAAAAGCCATTCACATGCTGCCCTGAATGCACTTATTGTGCAGAGAACTGAGGAGGCAGATCCTATCCTAACCACGCAGCAGAAAAACTAATTTGAACCCTCAGAAGAAATAAATGGAGTCTAAGGGTCAGCTCCTCAGCTGGAGTAAATCAGCATAGCTCCATTGGCTTACCTCTGGACCTATTTCCACTGCAAAACGTACTGAGCTAACAAGCAATTTGGACTTGTCCACTCAACAAAGTCCATGTTAGTAGACTGGGAATCTAATATACCTTTCATATTCAGTCCTATAACGTCAGTGCTTAGGAAAGCTAATTTCTGGTATTGAAACCAAAGTGCTGTGAATCCTGCAATTGTGAAATCAAACTTTTGACCCAGTTGACACAGAAGTACCCTTCCAAGCCCTGATTTCTTCCCCCTGGAAATTCAGCCTCCATCTCTCGGTTTACTCTAAAACAGCTTGCGTGCACACTGTGAAAAAGAAGAATAGCAGCACTTCCCTCCATCACCCCACACCCCACCTTCACCTACCCCTTTCCCCACCCTGTAAGATATTGGAAGAGGCCCCCGTTGGTGTTTTTGGCCCCAGCTCCCTTCTACTCCTTCTCCACTCCTCTGTCTCACTGCCAAATGCCCAGTCTCCCTTCCCATTCCCACTCACTTCTCTCCCTCTTCATACTCTTTCTCCTCCTCCTCCTCAAGAACTTAGTCCCACTCACATTCTCTTTCCCTTCCGGTCACCCTTTCCTCTCCTATTCACTCATCAGTTAGTCTTTCAGCCCTCAAACGGGAAATAGAGCTCCCTAGCTCTTCACAGAGTGTAGGAGGAGTACACTCCCCTGACCTCCAAAGTTCCAGATTTTTCTGGCATGCAAATACTGGATCAGGTAGAAAAAGGGAAGTTAGAAGATGCATAGAAAATGAATTAACAAAACAGATTTTTATGAAATGATCAAAATCAATAACAACAAAAAGTCTCATCTGAATATCCCTCTATGAATATCCCTCTGCTAAAGAATTATCAGCACACTGATCTGTTCACAAAAACCAGAGGTGCCTTGGCAAAGATCTTAGGTTCAATAAACAAATAAAACCTTTGGAAGTTTGATTTTTTTTCCCATCTAGGAGACAAATATTCTTGGAAGTGCCTCCTATGATCCATACAACAAGCTCCTTCCACCTCACTTCTTCTGCCAACCCTTTCAACATTACTCTTCTTACCAAGGATGCCTCCCATCTTCTTCCATCAGAACTTGTCCT